AGGGCAAGGTGAGCAGCAGAGCTGGCCAGGGAAGGAGAGACAGCATGGTCCTCAATGCAGGTGGAACATCAAGGGCAGAGGATGAGCACACAGCACCCTGTGGAGCCAGCAGAGCCTGAGCTACTATGGGAAACAGAAGTAGCAAAACCCCATCCCTGGGATGCAACCTCCAAAAAGGAACAAGCCTCGCCTGCAAATCAAGAAGACCAAGAATGCTTTCCTCAAGCCAAGCAGATGAGATAACCCAGGGAAGCAAATGCCACCACAGCCTCTCAGCTCAGCTCTTAAAGCTTTTCCAGAGCCACCTTGGCTGCCCTCAGGCCCTCTGAACTCGGACACAACGCCCTGCCCACGGTGGGCAGCCCTGCCCCGGACCCCATACAGTACCCATGATTCTAAGTGCTTTGCATACGTAGTTCACCATCATGCAGATACATTTCAGCATGCCCTGGGCCCAGCAGGTCTGTCCTCCTGCAGCAGAGAGGTCCTTCATTCCGTGTAGGGCTCGTAGTGTGCGTTGGACTCCAGCCCTCTCCTGCTCGAGCTGCAGGGCCCGGGGCAGCCTGGCAGCTGCTGCCCACGCTGGGGGTGGCAGTGCAGGCTCAGCAAACACCAGCACCAGGGAAGCTCACAAAAAGAACCATATTTACAGTGCTACAGTCCAGCTTCAAACGGGTTACGTGTGCAGAGAGTCACCGAAGCCGGCTGGGAACAACGAACTGTGCATCCCCACAGATCCTGCCAGGAAAAACACGGGTACCAACATGGGTTTCACAGCTTCGCTGGCACAACTATGGCAAGAGATCCCTTGCTAACTGGATCCTCCCTGCCTGGGCAGCAACACTCCAGAGGTGGTTACGACACTAGGGAATGACTGTGAGGTGGGGAGACCTTGGCCAGGGAGCCCCACGGAGGGTGAGGTTTCTCCTTCCTAAATGAGTCTCTGCACGCAAGAGCAGCAGCCCTCGTACCAGACACCATCACAGCCTGCCAGAGCTCCGAGGGAAGCGAGACTGAAGGATGCACACGCTCCTCCTCTGCCTCCTCCAGCATCCAGACAGGGAGCCCCTCAGTCCCAGCCGGAGCGCTCTGAGGAATTGGGAACCAAGCTCTACAGTGATGCATAGTGGGGCGACCTGCCAGCAAGAAGGGGATCTGACCTACTTATCAGGGAAGGGGAGGGGGCTGTGCTCGCCCCCAACAACTCAATCACAACTGGATCCCACCTCCTAGAGGCTGGAGCCCGCTGGGAATCAACAGCCCAGCCTTTCTGTCCCATCAGCCAACACGGGTTTCAGCTACTGACCAAGGGGGACACCAGGAACGGTCACAGACATCTCAGAGGCTCTGAAGGAGCAGGAGCACAGAGACTCAACTATACAGGGTGCAAGAGTCCAGAGCCAGAAAGCAGCACCCTGGGGAGAAGCTGAAGGCAACTGTTGTGTTGTGCATGGGCTGCTCATCTGGTTGGTGGCTGGGAAAGGACTGGGTAAGTATGGGGTCTGGTTACACCAGGTGCTGCAAAGCATCCTGGGAGTTGTAGTTCTAAGTACTCTGTCACACATGCTCTGTTGAATGCTTGTATGGGATTGGCTTAAGAAGTTACCTGTGTGACGTGGCAGCATTTGAAACTGCTATATAAACTGGGACTCCTGGAATAAACTCTCTCTTGTTACACACCACGTTAGTGTCGCTATGGTCCCCATGGGACTTATTATTTATTATATTAATAACTGCTACATATGGCGCCCGAACAGGGACCTAAACCTTATCCTGAATCAGGAAGAAATACGGACCAGACGTCAGGTACCAGCCTATGTTTAACGCTGAGGGATGTCCGCCGTGAAAAAGAAAATAACGCCAGGTACCAGAGGAAAGGAAACTCTGATGGGCGTAGGCGGGAGAAACCACGATTGAGCTCGAAAAAAGGCCTGAATTCGGTAGGAAATTGCCTACGCTTTGAGAGGACGCTCTCGAGAAGAAAAATCTACGTCCCAGGTGAGAGGGCGGGAGAAAAAAGAAAAAGAGAGAAAATGAAAACTTTTAATTCACGTGAACCGCAGAATATTGCAAAAGCCTTAAGCTTAATATTAAAAAGACTTTGGAGACAAGTTAACAAACATAAAATAACTGGACTTTTAAAATTGATGAAAATAACTGTTTTAAGACTACTATTATTTACAATTCTTAGTGAAATTACTTGGAAAGAGGAGTGGAGAAGCAGAGAAAAAACAAAAGTAAAAAAGGTGGACACTTTAAAACCCTCACAAGAGAACTCGTCCATAGAGAGAAACTTTGAATCTTCCCCTCCCCCAAACATTGTAAAGCATGAAACTCCACGTGCTACTGCAGTCTGGAAAGGGGGAGGGGGTCCGAGAACACGGAAGAAAAGCCTTAGAATATACCTTTTTGTGCTGAATTTTCGCGGATGCGTGAATTCCGGGAAGAAGGCGCGTGTCGCGGGTTATGTAACTGGTAAAAGGGAACAAACTTTGAATCCCCAAGCCATTAAAAACTTGCAGACACGTGGAGACCACGCCGGAGCGTGGGCGGCGCCATCTTGCCCATGCCGGGAGCAGGAGGTAGTGCCTTCTCTTCCTGTCTCGTGGCCATGTTGCGGACTGCCTCTGCTGGAGGCAACCATGGAACATGGTCCATGCTGGGAGCCGGTAGCTAAGCAACAGCTGCTGTGCCTACCAGCAACAGCGGTGCGATGTTTAAAAAAGATACGGATAGCCGCTCGACGCTGCGAAGCGGCGCAGGGCGCGGGCGGGGGCACAGAGCGCGGGGCTGTCGAGACGCCGGCAGCCGCAGACGAGTCAGGCCGGGACGGAGCTGCGCACAGCTCCGCAGGACTGCTGGCAGCGGGCGGCGGCGCCTGCCCCCCCAGGCCCGGCGACTCCGGGACGGGGCTCGGCAGCGACGGCGACTTCATCTCGCGGTGCCGGCTGGTGTCGACCAGGCTGCGGCGGCGGTTCCTGCGCAAACCCAGATGGCAGCGGCGGCGGCACCACCGGGAGCGGCGGGCCCGGCACACAGCGAGAAGGGGGCCGGGCAGCTGGAGCGGCCGCCGCGGGCGCCTCTGCCCGGAGCTCGCAAGCGGGCCAAGGCCCGGCCGAGGCGCGGCCGAACGGGAGGCGGTGACCCGAGCGCGGAAGCCCCGCCGCAGCTGGCGATGACTGCCGTCGCGCCCCCGACCCGCGTGGAGCTCCCGGCGGAGCTCCGCGCGGAGCCCCGGGCTGGGGGGGGCAGCCGCCCTGCCTGAGGAGAAGCTGTGGGGCGGCCCCGCAGCCATCCCGGACAGCCGAGCAGGCTTGCACCGGGACTGTGGTGCAAGTTTGTAAATGAAGCTGGGGCGGCGCGGGGCGCCAAAGGCGGCACGGCGGCTTCGGCGAGCATGTGTCAGCGGCGCAAAACTGCGAGGCCTTCGCCGCCCGCCTGCACCTGGAGCGTGGACAGCCCGTGGTGACGGCCGGGCCGTGCCTAGAGCTGACGGCCACGTTCAGCTACAGGAGCCAGCCCGCCCGTGCCGCCGCTCCCCTGAAGCGGACCACGCGGCCCGGAACAGCCGCACATGCGGCACAACGCCGGGCTGAGCCGAGGCCTGGCGGCGATGACCAGCGACATGGCCCCCACCGTAAGCGGGCCGGGCCGTGGCCACAGCGACTCCGGCTCCTCCAGGATCCTCAACAGTGACAACACCGCCTCCCCACTCCCGTGAGAGAGGCGGCGGCGGCCCGGGCAAGGACCCGGGCCGGGGCCAAAACTATACAGACACTATGATACTGACTGTTTTTACATGTTTTACATATAAGCCTTTAGAAATTATTACAAATGTTTTTATCTAAAATAATTTAGTTAACTGTCTTTAGTTTTCTATTTACACTAATAAGAGAGAAAATTCAACATTCCCTTATTAATACATTTTTAACTTTCTAATTTCCCTGTAGCTTTGTTTAAATTACTAATAGTCACATTTACTAAGTATTGTTTAAAATTGTTAAGTTCTTAAATGTATCTAAATAAGTTTAAGTTTATAACTATTTCGTTTAAGTAGTAATTAGCATCTTTAAGAATTTCTATTGTTATTAATTAACAGATTATAATAGTAACCTACCTATTAATTTCCCTAAGTACACACTCGAGTATGTCCACACTACTTACCAGTATTATATCTTTAAATTCATTAACTTTCAATATTCACAACAAAAAAAGGGGAGTAGACAATAAAAATATGCGTGTAATTAAGTAAGTAAATCCTGAGTCAAACAATTTTCATTCTGACCAAACACTACATAAAAGTTTAAGTCGTATACCTACAATATGAAAACAAAATAAAAATTACATGTATGCATGAATGAAAAATGATTGGGGTGGCCACCCAAATGAGTGAGTGAGAGATTGTGTGAATGTATGAATCTATGTGAACCATTTACACCTTATACAAAATATCTGAAACGAACACACACAACAAACACTACCTCTAATACATAACCTTAATAAAAAGCAACTCAAAACATGATGTTCCTCCTTTAAACTTTTCCTTGCATTTTAATAAAGTAAGTTTTCCCCAGTTATATGTAAACCCTCAGATTGATAAAAGTTTTTGTTCTACCCAATTGCAAAAAACCCTTAAGTAAATAAGGTTTAATCAAAAAATAAGTTTACTACGTCAAGTGAAAAACGTTTTATTAAGAATTGCACTGTTTTTTGAATTTAAACTGTTTTGTATCTTATTATTAATAAAAATGGGGGAATTGTGGGGTCTGGTTACACCAGGTGCTGCAAAGCATCCTGGGAGTTGTAGTTCTAAGTACTCTGTCACACATGCTCTGTTGAATGCTTGTATGGGATTGGCTTAAGAAGTTACCTGTGTGACGTGGCAGCATTTGAAACTGCTATATAAGCTGGGACTCCTGGAATAAACTCTCTCTTGTTACACACCACGTTAGTGTCGCTATGGTCCCCATGGGACTTATTATTTATTATATTAATAACTGCTACAGGTAAGCCAGCGTGACATTCAGGGAGTCATTGTGCTGCACCAGGGACGTGTGCTTGTAGTGCAAGACCAGGTCCTTGAGGGAGGCGTAGAGGTTGTAGGGTTCAGCGAACCCATAGCCCGTCGCCGCCTTGTAGGTCACGCAGTGCTTGGTGTCACCGTCCACCGTGCCAGGGACACAAAGAGCCCAGGTAAGCAGTGGGACAGGGACAGCAGGGCATGAGCAGGGGCCACCAAAGCAGCCCAGAAATACACCTGGCCCTGGCAGGAGGAGCCAAGGCAGAGAGGAGACTTTGGGAAAGTCTGACACCTCCATCATCTGGCGAGGGGAAGGTGGAGCCATGTGGGAACACAGCCCTCACCAGCCCCATTCCACATCTGCACCGGGATACTCACACCACGGAGCAGGCGTAGCATCCCTTCTGGCTGCTCTCACGGGTCAGGAAGGTGCTGTCCCTCTTGCCACACAGCATCTTCTCTGCCTGCACACGGTTGATCTTCCCCACGTACCATGTTTGCTCCTCGTGGTGGGGCAGCTCCTCCTCTTCATCCATCACGGAGTACTGGCTGCAGTGGAGCACAGGCAGGGTCAGACTCCCTCAGTTTGGGCACCCACATCTCCCCCACACTGCTGCTACCACCACCCATTCCAGCAGGGAAGGCTCCTCAGCTCTGACACAGGGAGCTGGGAGGTGCCCATGGCCCCCCCACACGAGCAGGGACAGGGAGACACTCACTCCTCCGTCTCGTTCTTGATGCTCAGCCACTCGTTGATCTTCTTCTGCGGGGCACCCTTCTGCGTGAGCCACCTGGGGGAGGAAAGGCAGAGCTCAGCCCGGGCCGCGGCTCCCGGGCGGGGCCATCACCAGAGGGCAGCAACCGCCCCTCTCAGAGCCCCGCGGCAGCGCAGCAGAGTTCACTCCCGCACCAAACAGGCTCCCAGCCGGTCCAACGAGCCCCAGAGCCCTCGAGGAGCCAGCTGGATGGCTCCCGGGCCGGGCTGGAGGGGAGCTACCTACACCAAGTACTGGTCCCGCAGTTTGCGCAGCTGCATGAGGTCTGGCTTGAGGCTGTTCATGCGCTTGTCCATCTCCTGGTTCTCCAAGGCTTCTTTCTTCAGGTCCTGCTCCAGCTTCATCTTGCTGTTGTGGATCTCTGTGATGCGAGACTTGAGCTTCTCCAAGTCCATGAGGATCCTGGGAGAAAGAGGGGGGGCTGTGAGCCGGAGTGGGGGAGGCAGAGGAGGCTGCCTGCCAGCTCCAGCCCACAGCACGCTGCTGAGAGGCAAGGACTGTGCATGCCTGAGCTCTGTGCTGGGCCAGGAGGATCCTTCCAGCTCCTGGAGCCCTTCCCCAGACATGGAAGGCCTCCATCTCCCCCATCCTCACCGTTGCACCTCCTTCTCGTTGCTCTGCGCCAGAAGCGCCGATGTACTCCTTGCTGCACTTCTCCTGGGTCTGACACTGCTCCTCAAAGCTCTTGATCGTCTCATTGAAGGCCTCGATTGCCGTCCTCTTCATCTGAAG